CCTCACTTTATTTAATGTATTCTTCCCATTGCCATAATTCTCTGATATGTTTCTTGGGTGTGTCTATTGCTATTTCTTCCTAAGTCTCTATTCTCACTCGCATTTAAGTAAGAATAGTGCTACATAAATTGAAAATATCGAACCAGAACCCAAAAATCAACTCCACGCTCCACACCCTATACTACAAAGAACCAATGAAAGTGGCACATAACTTAGACCATTCAGTTCGGTTGCACATTGCACAACAAGTAACATATTACTTAATCCAAAAGTAATTTCCATGTTACGAGTGCTATGTCCTTAGCATTTGTCGATTCAATACCAACAAATCAATCCAGAAATCAACTGTTCATTATGTCAATAAAGACTATTTTTCTCTACTGGATCTCTTGTTTAATAGCTTTTCTACAAAATTAAGTGGCTACAGAATTATCCTTTTTGGTAAAAATACAGCTGGTTGAAAATGATAGATTGAGAAATGGGAACAGAGAAGCACTTACTGCATTAAGGAGAAGGGCTCGGACAACACAGAGTAGTGTTCCATCTCCTTTTGAATCAATAATGAAGGGAGTAGCAGGGAGCAGCTCAAGACCTTTGGTGCAAGAGGTTTGCACCGCCTTTGGCAACCATGATACTTCTGAGCAGACGTGGATGATGTTTCCAGGAACTGATCTATTTGCCAGAGTTCCATTTCATGCTGCTCATACAATATTGGAAACAGGTTCTGCATTCATTCCTGTCCACCCTATCCTCTAACCATTAAAAAACAAATAATGAGATAAAGAAAGCAAGACAATTACTGTAAGTGCTTGCCTGTGTTGGGTGTCTTTTTTCATGTGCTGGGGCAAAATGCTTGGTTAGCTACTACTTCTGTATTTGTGGCCATTCTATAGTTGTTATGTTTGGTAATAACCCCTAATGAATGCAATTTTACCGTCTTTGCTTCAGTGCAATTTGGGAATACTTGGATAAAGATTTTCCCTCTCCTTGTATGTTTTTCATATTATAGTAGATGACAACACAAGTTTGGGTTTTATGCATTATTTTGTAGTCTAGGTTATCAACAATTTTCCTATTTGATATGTCAAACACTATGCAGATGCAATCAAATTTCCTTACATGTTTTTCCTTTTTATATGTATTAATTGTTTCTCTTCTCTTGTTTGTGAGTATTTTTCTTAAGATATTTAAATTGCCTTTCATACTGTTTATTGGTTCAACCCAATTTCTGGTGAGTGGCTTTTTCGTGTGATGCAAACCCTGCAATGCTGAAAATTGATGTAACTTCTCATAAAATAGTGATTCTTTTGTCTAGAATAAAGTCTGAATTGTTAAGTCTAGAATTAAATCTAAAACTGTTAACATAAGTACTTTCAGATGATTTTTCTGTTAGTTTACTTTGCATCCTGGAGCACAGAACGTGCACTTAAATAGGCAAATGATTGAACGTGGACGATCATTATTATGCATCGACTTATAGTTTAGACGTTGCGATGAGACCAATTATCTCCATTCCTGTTCTTAAATTGATCATTATTGTTATTGCAACAGTTCTATGTTTGAAATGTAGCCAGAGTCAAGTCCTTTTATTGAAAAACTGATTTCTTTTAACAATTGGTTCAAATCTTCTTTTACTGACCATGTAATTAATTACAGATCAAGCACAGCTTGACTTTGAGGCGAAGAGGCTACAGAGCATTGTGAAAGAAAAATCTTACCTTATTTCAGAGACAGGTGTTCTTGCTGACAAGATAAGTCCAGGAGTGCTCAAATCGCTTGTAACCTTAAATGACAAGGCAAAGTAAGATGTTTTGCACTGATTATATAGCATGAAACCTTGTTGCAGCATCAACTGGGTAGAAAATGGCAGTTTTCTGGAAGAAATTTTCTTGAGGCATTAAGGTTTCTTATGTAGTGTGTTGCTGTAATTGTGTGTAAAATGCCTCTTGTTTTCTTTTCCCATGTTTATACTGTGACTTATACATTCAATCCTAGTAATGGAATTACTGTTACACACAATTTGATCAATTCTTCAACTGTTATTTGGAGTCACCATGCATTTTCACTAAATTTTGACCCAGAAGTGCCGTGCATCAATGTCAAGTGGTACATGCTTGATTTCCCTTGAGCAGCAGTGTCTTAGATTTGAATTTTATGTATGGAAAAAGCACTCGTTAGAAGAACTAGCCTCACTATATTGTGTAGATGTATCTGACTCAAATAGCATGGTCTCCTACGAATGCATGAGATCAAGAAAAAAAAAAGTTGATCTCGGAATTGTTGGACAAGTCCCCATACGGAAAATTTTCCGGAGGCTTTGAACAGCTTTGATGTTCAACAACCGTGTGGTTTTTTACGCACACGTTTCTCTGTGGTCCCCTTTGGAGAAAGAATTATACAGGGGAAGTATCATTGCATGTCAAAGATTTTGTTGGACACTCTTGAAAGGGATTGCAATATAAATTAAGGGGATTCCGTTCTTACATAGTGTTTCGGAAGGTAGTAAGTTGTAGAAAAGATGGGGTAAAAATTGGAGTGTTGGGATAATTCCAACACTTGATGGAAGGACTAGTCACCAATCAAGCAACCAAAGTTTCAGCGGGTGACAAACTTTTCCTATTTCTTATTTCTTGGTTTGGTGGTCCAAACCCGTTTCTTAGGGGTAAAGAAAAATATGTGGGAACTAAATAGTTTTGGTGTAGCCTTTTAGGTATGAGGCACTTCCCTTGTTCATAAGAAACATGTTTTTGGAAGCTGAGGGCGTCCAAGTGCCTATCAGGATTTGTCTCTATTCGGTATCACGATTATTCTTAAATTTCTTATTACTAAAAACTAATTCCAATAATAATAATAATAAAAGTTAAATAAAATAAACATTAATATTTGTCTTAATTAGAAGAACGAGTTATTTCTTTCTAAAATATATTTTTTCTTTCCATTTTGGGTACAAGAAAGAATTAGTTTTGCGAGAAGCAATAAAAGATTACAAAGTAAAGGGAATTCTTGTGCAACTTTCCGAGAAAGAGGAAAACAGCCAAAATGAATGAGCTTGTTGAATGTTTAGTTAAGACTTTGACTGTCCAAACTCATGTTTGTTTCAAAATAAATTTTGTGATAAGTAAATTGATTATAAAAGAAATATAAAAAAAGTTATCTATTTTCTTCGAATAATTATTAAAACTAATTACTAGCCGCATATTTATTTTATTTTATATATATTTAATAATTATAGAATACATTTTTCATATAATTATATATATTTATTCATAAAAAATTAAAAATTTATATGAAGTAATAAAAATATTAAATAACAATTTTTATCTTTAAATCAATGTTATAAAACTCGGATAGGTTATTGACTCGGTCTAAGGATTGGGTTGGAGTTCTAAATAAAATCTATGTCTTCAGCTTGTTTAGCTCACTTAAGAAGCTTCGCACGAACCAGTTTGATTAATTAATGTATGAAATATTAATTTGAGTAAATTTTTGTTAATAATAAAATTATTATTTGAGTATTTAAAATATAATTCTACATTATTAAATAATATTTATTTTATTTTTTAAAATTATAAAATAAAGACAATAATAAATATTTGATAGTTTTAAAAAGTAGAAGAGTATTTATAAATGATACAACATCTATAATTAAATTTTGTTTCATTAGGTAAAGTTTATGGATCATATGACGTTAAATTTTGTTAAACATCAAATTCTGTCATAAATTATTATTATTAAATTTATTTTGATAATCTTTTCTAAAATTCTTATGAATATTTCTCTACCTCTTCTTACCAAATTAAATGCCGTATTATCAATTCTCTTTATTAGTACAAAGGAAAAATATTGTGTTAAGTATTAATATAATAACACTTAAAATATATACATGAATCACTCATAATATTTATAAATAATAGTTTTAGCATATATTTTTGAAAAAAATACTTTTTCCTGATAAAAATTTAAATACATAGATCTTATTTAAGTGAATTTGTAGAGAAATCTTTGTAAAAAAAATAGTATAAAAAATAAATAAAACTTTTTTATAAGTTAAAAATAATTTATTTTTTAAAATTTTAGAGAAGTTAAATGACATAACTTTTAAAAATTTTTAAAAAATAAGAGAAGTATAAGTTATATTTAACTTACAAAAAAAATTATTCAATTTTTTATTTAAATTTTTTTTTCTTATAAAAACTTCTCGATAAGTTTATCCAAATATATGCATGAGTAAGTTGGTAAAATCACTGTCAATCTACTTTGTTGGCCCAAACAAATAAATTAATGATTCCAAAAAAACCAATTGAATGCCTAAATCACCTCTATTAGATTTGTCCTAAGGAAAACAAACAATTTCTCACTTATAAATAATTATTATTTTAATCTCTATTTTTATTTCTATCTCTAATTCTGGGAGATTCAGGTTAATCCTTAATATTAGCGGTGTGAGTTTCTCCTAATAGAATACCTCAAGTGATACGTAATGTGACAGGATAGAACAGTAGCGATTCTGAACCTCCATAACAGAAAGAGATGAACAAAATGGGTGAAATGGTAATTGAAAAGATAAGGACTAGACGACTAGAAGAAAATCGCCAAGAAAAATCATAACTTGTATATAAATCACGACAAATAATTTACAGAGATATATGTTAGCATTTTCTGCTTCTATAGTATAATCAGATGGAGAAAAAGAACAAAGAAAAGGCAGGGATAATAAAGAGAAAGAAATAGCATACAAGTTAAAGAAAACACATGACCATAGACCACTAAATTTCTGATTAATCAAAAGAGACCTTTTAACGAGATGTATGACAATTTGATGTTCAAGTCATTAGGCATGTCAATTTTGATGTTCAAAACATGAGTTCCATTTACGATAGTTTTGGTTCTGTATGATAACTTAGTGGTTAACTAAGTTCCGTCTAAGTTAATCTCCTAAATAGTATCTGTGCCCTCAGTAGTAGTTAAAAATGGCAATCAAATTAATATACTCAATTGTTGTTAATATAGTTTGCTTTGAGAACCACCAAAAGGGTGTACATAATAAAATACTGTATTTATCATATAATAAAAGACATTGAAACCTCTCTACCCTAATGTTTAGTATTTCAGAAAATTCCATTATCAACTTCAATTTCTGAGCTGCATCCACCTAGATGATATCCTCTGTACAGCTAACATCATGAACAGTTCCATTATAAAATTCTAACAAAAAATGCCCCATTTAAAACTTAACACCCTTCAGTTTTCTCAATGTGAGATTGAGCCTGTTTATTGAGGTGCCCTGAAGCTCGGTGTCCTTCTATTCTACACTACCCATCTATCCATATTCCATACAAAGTCACTAGGCAGGGTGAATCAGCTAGACACCGGCAAAGACTCAAAAGAACATATATTAGATCAAAGATTCAAAAGAGGGTATCGTACAAAAATAACCAAATGTCTTGTTTAACTATATTCTAGCATATCTACTCTACAAGAAGAAAATTATTTGATGCTGAAGTCATAATACATAAACCTTACAACTCATCCAAAAATCAACACTATCATCATCAGTATTATTTTTTTTTTCCAATCAAAAGTGAGTTGTGATTATTCTTCTTCCCCACGGGTCACAAGGAAGGACACAATCACTCACAATTCAAACTTCAAAGTAAGAAAAACCTCAGGGACCTTGGAAGTTGCAGCAGAGGGTAGCCTGTGAAAGAGCTTCACAACTCCTTGAATCAATGCTAAGATGAGACACCATTCTTGTAGTGGCCACTGCATTATGTAGAGGCAAAAGTGACTGCACACTTCCTAATTGGTACACACAAGTTCTGCTAAATATAACAAATTTCACATATCAGCACAAAACAATTAACCAAAAGAAAAGGCAGGGTATGAAATACAACTATTTACACATAAAAGGTAAATAACACAAAACTGCTAAGTGATTAAACTTAGTATAGAGATTCCCATTGCCAAAGTTTCCAATTTTGAACATAGAAGAACATTTTGGAAATTTGGGAAATTTGTAAAACAATTGCGGATCTGGGTATAAACAAAATGGAAAAAAGAAGGTAGCTTTGGGGGGTTCTGTGTAAATGGTTTACCTGATGAAGGGTGGGAATCGACGGTGCGTCACTGAAGCGTTAGAAGGAGGAAGAGGAGAATTATTGATTGCTCTAACAGCTGATTTCAGCGGAGAGAATGAGACGAGACGACGCGTGCAATGGGACGACGCCATCAGAATCAGAGAGAAGAGAAACTGAGAAAAAAGAGTACCAAGTGAAATGAGTTTTCGATCTTTGGGAGGGTTTTTCTGTCTCCACGTAAACCCAAGTAAGGACGACCACATTATATTTTTATAATAATAATAAAATTTTGTTTTGTTTTTTTGTTTTTATATCATTTCATCTAATGGATTACCCGATTTTCTTTATTTCTTTATATTCCTTTCAAAATTATTATAAAAATATAACTTTTTTATTATAAAAATAACATTTCCCAATACAAATATACAACGGTTTTTTTTTCTAAAAGAAAAATTAATAATAAGCCTTATAAAAATAGAAAAGAAGGCTAAAAAAAATAAGAAAAAAATAAAGTATATTTGTTTTTTATTAAATGTGACTTAAAAGCTCAACGAACACATAAACTATATTATAAATATAAGATACCAAGTATCTAAAGAGTCCAAACTTAAAAAAAAACTAAAGAAGAGGAAGCTTCATAAAAATAAAGCGAAAGTAACCTATATTCAGCACTCAGCTTAATCAACTAATTTGCATGTTGATTAACTTTTTTCAAAATATGATTAAATTTGATGAATTTAATCTCTTTTAACGGCTTCTAATGTCACTAATAACATGAAAGAGTAAATGGCCACAACTTTGGAGGTTCATAACTAAGGAGAGATCCTCCTTCGAGTTACATTCTATCCAAATTAGATTAATCTTCTTGGAGAGAACAAGATGAAGACTCCAGTAAATCACCTAAAGTTTCGCAGCCAGAAAGAATAAACATTTAAAGCTTTGTGAAACCCTACAATAAATCTTTCATGACTGTCCCTAATGAGACTACCACAACTAGCCATCCCTGTAGTTTGAAAGATGTCCCCATCAATATTAAGTTTAAGCTTATGACTCTTGGGGTGTTGCCATCTAGTAAGTTGTTCAAACTCCATCCAGCCCAGCCCCATCTTCCTATTTGTCCTGATTTGCTTTCAAGTTGCATGTTTAAGATCGTCTTGTCACTCGGGTTCTCTACTCTCACCTTGACCTTTTATGTATTGTGGTTCATTACATCTAACTCCTCTGTGGTCCGCTTTTCAGCTTCGTGACGCTCCATTCCTTTAGATCCACTATAGTCGTGGTCACAGAACAAAGAATCTTCCTTTGCAATCTCCTATGAGAGGTCTCCTTCTCCCTGGTGCCTCACGATCCCTGCTGAGTTGCAAGGGTGATACATGTTAGTAGCACCTCTTTTGGCTGGAGATAAAAGAAAACAAGACTAGGGTTCTTGGAGAAAGAGTCACGCACAATGTAGCTTTTTCAATGCTCCACCTATTTTAGATAACGTGTATTTAACGAATTGAACTTATTAACGATTTATATCTTGAAAATTTTAATTAAGATAGCTTGAGTGGACAATTTGGTTGCTTTGTTATGAAAAAAGCATAATCCTATTGAATAATTATGAATTTATATATCTTCATAATTTATTCGTTTGTTCATCCAAATATACCTTTAAAAGTATTTTAACAAATGACTAAACCTTCATTTTAATTATTGAGAGAGTTTGAGTCCAACATTTTAGTTTCTGAAAAATTTAAAATATCACGTTAGTCTCTAACATCTTTCTCTGTCATTCATTTTAGTCTCTAAACTCACACTTTGTTAAGAAATAGTAACAGAAAGCTGACTTATTATGTTAAGTGTCACGTCAGATGTCCAGGTGGCAAGAAACGATGTCGTTTAGGAAATGAATGTGACAAAACACCTTTAATTGTTAAAAAAAAGGCGTCGTTCTGCATGACTTTGGTTGAAGGGTTGTTACCCCTTGAGGAAGGAACTTCAGAGCCACCATTGAACAAAAGATTTCTCACAACAACAGGTTTCAAGCCATTCTTAAACTCTGGCAAAGAAAGAGAAATGTTATTGCCACTCAAATTTGACAATTTTAGAGATGCTAATTCAACTCACCAAGAAAGTCCAACAATGTCATCACTTTAAAAGCGCAAAGAACCTCCAGTTTGTTTTGACAAAATGTAGTACTGTTCTAATATTGGGGCCTTATTAGCAAAGTAAAAGTAACAGGGATCCATTTGTAGCAAAACCTTAACTACTTTAATATGATGATTAGGCATTGCTTCATGTAACGCAGTGTTCCTATCGCAATTTTTTACTCTAATGTAGTTCTTGTCTACTCCTATTCCATGCTCAATGTTAGGAAGAAAAGGCTTGACATGTTCAATTAGTAACCTTGCGTGTTGTAGTGTCCATACCTAACAACAATATGAAGGGGTGTTTCTCTTTTAGCATTAGGGAGTAAAATGATTTGAGTTCTAAGATTATATTTGTGAAGAGCCTTAAGGCTATATTTGAGAGTTGAGTTTAGGAGGGGAGGGAATAGAAGGAGAAGGTTTTGAGAATTTTTCTAAACCCTTCAAAGCCCTTCTAACACTAGTTTTTTGAATTGCTCCAATCTGGGAGTTTTTCAGAGATTTTCTCTCTCATTCTCTTATACTCTTTCACGATTAGGGTTCTAACTTTTTTTTTTAAAATATTAGTTCTTCAAGTGAAAATTTTAAAAAAATAAAAAATAAAAAATAAAAAATAAAAATATTAATTTTAAAATTATTAATGTTTTGAGAAAGAAAAATACTTATTTTTTATTTTGTAAAAAAAATATAAATAAAAAATAAATATATAATAATATCATTTATATAATTAAACTTTCTATCACTCTTCTCACTCAATATTAAACATCCAAATAAAGGAAAGGTTTAACCTCCTTCCCTCTTCCCCTCCACACTCCCAAACAAAGCCTAACTGTATATACCAAAATCTCACCTAAAATATCACCCAATTTCGTGTTTGCAGAATGACGCCCTTTTTTATAATTAAAGGTGTTTTACATCCCACTTGAACATTTAACATAATACTTAATGTGACAAGTAATTCTCTATTACTATTTTTTAATGGAGTATGAGTTTAAAAACTAAAATAAATGACGGATAAGGAAGTTAAAGACTAATGTAATATTTTAAATTTTTTAGAAATTAAAATGTTAGATTCAAACTCTCTTAAAGATTAAAATGAGAGTTTGATCTTTAACAAATTAAAGTTATTATTTATTAAAATAATCCTTTAAAAAATAAGTGTGACTACGTCAACACTATGAATACTAATATATTCTTACTTTTTAATATGCTAACTATTACATTGTAATTCAACGAAAAAGAACAATTGTTAAATGTGATATTTTACTATATCTTTAATTTATAAATTCGTAAAATAAAATATTATTTTAAAATTAAAATGAATAAAATAAACATTAATTAAAAATATAATATTTAATTTAATTATAAAAATATTCCAGAACTTTTTATAATAAACATATGTCTGTGTATATGCAAATATGCCTAAAATATTTTGTAAATAATTATTCATATAGAATTCATATTAATTTTGATGAATAAAAATCTTATTTATTGTGAACGGTTTTTAAAATAATACTCAACGAGTTTAAAATTAATTTTCATCCTATCTGCTTGTCTGGTTTCTTTAGGCCTGATTTATCCTAGTTTAATATGCAGTGGGGACTGACATTCCCTTTGTCTCCATTATTATGGGCTATATTATCTTCTGCGTCAAGTCATTACTCACATCACTATTATCTACAGCATTGAACTACTTGTTTCAGTCATTATTGCTATACTGAATACACTTATTCTTATCCAGGTATTTCATTCTTACATTTAAATTTTCCTAGTAATTTTCAATGAAACATGGAAATTCCACAAAACCTTATAGAAAGATATATAGTACATCATGCAACCGGCAACCGGATTGATAAAAATACAATGGATGCCACCGCTCCAACCCCTTTGATCAGTGATACAATCATATGTGCCTTTCAGTTCTATTCAAAATATTATCTTAATCTATTGAGAAAATCATATGATTCAAAATAATGTAACAATAATTTCCAAGAAAAATACACATTTTTCCTTCAAGGCCATCAAAAGAACTCCAGAAATAATGCACACCAGGACGGCCAGAGAGGAACTTCAAATAATCAATAAAGTTGCTACTGTCAAATAGTAATCTCAGTAAGTCTGACCAAGCAGCTGCAAAGGATGCTGTTGCGTGACAACCATTGAATATACGAAGCCAAAAATTTTACCCCACTTCTTTTGGCTTGCTGTCTGATTCCAGTTCCACTTTCCAACGGTTCGTTTAGAAATGTCATCCCATGCTGAAGGAAATTAAAAGCAACAGGGAAATCAAATAAGCACAAATGTAATTTTTCAATGGAGAAGAGTAAGTAAATGCTATCATAGAAGGGGATTACTCCAGTATTAGCTGTTAGACATACATTGGTTACTGGTTAGACTAACTGAACTTCATAAACATTTATTGTGAGAACCAGTAAGACAGCAATTAATCAAGGATACCATAGCACCCCCCATCATAGATGTCTCTCTCTAACACACACAACCGCACACATAAGTATATCTCAATCCATTTTCGGTAATTGAGAAAATATTCATATCTGCAGGCATACCCATACAAAGACAACAGTACAAGCACAGTTCATGACAATGAAAATTATTATTAACAAAATGAAAGCAATCCTTATAAAAGCTTGCCAGAATAAAATCTCTAGGGAAGGAAGTTGGCGAGAATATACTAGCAACTAAATACCTAGAGAAATTGTATTAGCAGCTTTGGTACACAGTAGAGTTAGGCCTTAACCTTCGCAACTAACTCTCCCGTCCTTGGCAGCATTGACAGAAAGCACCTGCACCAAATATGTGATTTACTTTCATGGTTGATAAAATGGTAGGAAACTAGAATGTGTACGTCGAAAAACCACTTTAATGGAAAAACAAGATATGAAGCAAGGATTTAAGAATGAGATTTTTGTTCCATTACCAAAAGTAAGGAAACCTTATGGTTCTATTTTTAATAACAAACATAATCTAATCACAAGTCACAACTAAGGGTATTATGAGTCTTTATCAATTATTACAAATTATAAGCAAGAGGAAAATCAAGCCAAAATCTCAAGACATGACAGGCACTTAAATTACCAAACACCCAATAACTCTATTAGGGCACTGCAAAAGGCCTTTATCCAGATGTAATTGTTTGTAAATTACATATTTCAAGTAGACTAAAACTTATTCTTGAAAGCAGAATCAACCATTCTACTAAAGTGAATGTTTGAGGTAAGTCTCCAATTTGAGGTGACAACTATACAACAGACATTAGCAATCGGCACAATATATTTGAAAAAAAATCGTTACGCAAAATAGAAACTGTGCACACCAATTAAATTGCAAGCCCTTGCTCTTTTGCTTTCTTGAGCCATTTGAGTGTGCTTTCCAATGTCGAGTAAGCAGCAGCATCCGTCAAACTCTTGCTCTCAATCGCATAATCAAAAACTTCATAAGCCTCCGCAACTCTCCCATCCCTGCAAAGAGCCCTCACAAACGTAGCATAAGAGGCCGTCTCAAGCTTTAGACCACCAGATTTCATCACCCCATAGAACTCAACAGCCTTCTCCAACAACCTAGACTTACACAACCCATGCAGCAGCGTGTTATACGTGCACGAATTCGGACTGCACCCCTTCTCTTCCATTTCACCCAACAAAGCCAACGCTGCCAACGCATCCCCTTTCCTGCACATTCCATTCATCAAGGAGGTATAAGTCACCTCATCAGGGAAAAAACCTTTTTCACCCATCACGCGCAACAACTTCTTAGCCTCGGTAACCCTTCCAGACTTGGACAACCCGAAAATCAAAGTATTATAAGTGACAAGATCAGGCTCCACCCCTTCCTCTTTCATCTTATTATAAACCTCAATCGCCTCACTCCCTCTACTAAGCATACAATACCCTTTCATGATGGTGTTGTAAACAAAGCAATCAGGCTTAAACCCTTCCTCATGAAGCACACTCACCAGCCTCAAAGCCTCACGTAAATTCTTACTATTACACACATTATCAATGAGAATCGTATACGTAACAAGATCAGGCTTAACCCCGAAATTCTGGCGCATTTCGTCGATGAAATCATAGACAGTGCTCAAGGAGCGGGACTTACAGAGATGCTTGACGAGGAAATTGAAGGTGTAGGTGTCAGGAGTACAGTGTTTTGAGGAGAATTCTTTGAGCAATTCGACGGCAAGGTCGAGGCGGGAGGCAGAGCAGAGGGCGCGGACAGCAATGTCGGCGGTGACGTTGTCGGGGGTAAGTTTATCTGCGAGCATGAGATTTAGGGTTTGGTGGATTGGGGACAGAGAGGGGTTGGGGGAATTGCAGGAGTGGGAGAGGAGGATGTGGTAGGTGGAGCGGTTGGGGGTGAAGGAAGGGATAGTTTTGGTGATGTGGCGGAGGAAAGCGATGGAGTCGTGGGTGGAGGTGGCGATTGCGGCGTAGGATTGGAGGAGGGAGTTGGGGAAGCGAGGGTCGGAGACGGTGGCGGCGGAGGTGTTGGCGATGGAGTTTAAGATTGTCTTGGCATCTTCGAGATTTGAGGAATTGAAGAGTTTGGGAGGTTGTTGTTGTTGTTGTTCCTTCTTCTGTGTTTTTTGGGGTTTTTTAGGGATTTTGTGGGGTTTTGAGGTTTGAGGAGGGAACAGAGAAGAGGGGCTTCTCAGGTTTGGGTTTGTCAGTGCGGAACGGAATGAAGGAGGGATTTTTCCCATTTCTTCTTCTTCTTCTTTCTCCTCCTTCCAGGGTTTAGGGTTTTCAAGATTCTTATTCTGATTGCCTCCGTTTGGGTTTTGGGTCTACAACAGTACAATACAAGTCATCATCATCATAACTAACGCTGTAATTAACTAATTTTGGGTTATTTAATTACAATTTGCTTTTAATAGTATTGTTCATCTAGGCTAAAAGCCCAAACAGAATATAGCAAAACTAATCATAAGGCCTAAGAAACCCAAGTCCAAGAGCATCTTGCCTTAGCAAAGGCAACAAATTGGAAGGAACCTGATCTAAAAACACACAATCCACTTGATCATTATGTGTCATTTTTGCTAACTAATCAGTGTATTAGCTTCTATAACAATATGATGAATCCTAAATGAGGTTATTTCCTCAAGCAGGAATCGAATGGTATAAATTTGAAGAAAATAAGGAGAAGAGCTGTTTTGTGTCAGTGTAAAATTTAGTTACAGTATCATAGATGTTTTTTTATATATTAATTTTTAATTAACCTTGTATACAGATTGATGTAAAGTATAGGTGTGCTTTTGCATTTATTTAATGTTAGTTGGATTAGATAGTTAATTGGATTTTTACTTGTTTAATTATATATATATATAAATAGTTTTTTTTGATTTAAATAGTTTTATTCTATATATATATATATATATATATATATAGTCTAATATATATTTATTCTAATTTCAATATATTTTTTATTCTATTTGATTTGAATGGAAATATTATCAAATAGAAAATAAATTTAAAGTTCTATTTTAAAAATATGTGTTTATTTTAATGTTGAATTTTATTTTATAAATTATTAAAATAAGAAAATTTAAAACAGTATAATACTCAACTTAATTTTGTTCTCTGAAGTTTAAAAAATACACATGACTAAATATTAAGAGAAGTATTATAGTAGATTTAAAAAAAATACTCAACTTAATTTTGGTCTCAATAATTCAAAAAATAACATGATTAGGTACTAAAAGAAGTATTATAGTAAGTTTTAAAAAAGAAAAATAGTTTCAATAATATATATTTACACCATGGAAGATATGGATGAAAGAGTAATTACAAATATGAAAACTCTTGAAGGTGTATTTAAGGATTTTCTTGTAGAGACAAAATAATCCCTAAATACATGCTCTTTGTGGATGATGTAGTGTTAATTGAGAATTTAAAAAGAGATTAATGCTAAACTTGAGTTGTAGAAGGATAGTTTGAAATTTAAAAATTTTTGCTTAAGCAAAAGTGAGACAACATATTAAGTTTGTAGTTTCAGTAAAAAAAAAAAGTTTTAAATGAACATTGTGAGAAAAAAATGAATAACAAAAATAAAAATGTTAATATAAATAAGTGATTATATAAAAAAAAGATAAAATAGGAAATGATTTTATACGTGATACTATTAGAATTATATCTTTAATGAAAAAAGTATATGAAAGAAAAATGTACAAAGTAGTTTAGTCACGTACAAAATGATTTAATTTAATCACATGCAAAAAAAAATCATTGAATGTATTAATAAAAATAATAGATGACATAATTTTTAATCTAATAAAATGTATTTTTAAAAGAAATTATTAAAAAGATTTATTAATTAATAATATTTATAAAATTTTAGTTTTAGACTGAATATAATGACATCATAATAATTAATGTGATTTAATAAAATAAAACTAGATTATTATTGTATTAAAAATTCTTATCATATAATTAATTACATGGCTTTTAAGATTAAACAAATTTTTTTATTATCCAATAGATCGTGAAATCTACATTTGTGATGAATGCACTGCAAATTCAGGCGTATGATTGGAAAAAGGATCATCTAACCGTTGTGAACAGTCACTGAATTTCATGTCAATAATTAAAACTAACCAAATTAGACAGCACAAAGGAACTATAGTGTTCTAGCAATTTTTCCAATCCCCCTTCCATAAAATGAGTTCAGGCAAGCCTATTTGACACCAGCAAGAACTTTTAATTGCATGTAAAATAGTTTATGGATATCTCAGTGCCATCACATATGATTGAGATGCAAATTGAAAAAGGAATAGAACAGTTGTCACTTAGTAGTTAGGAGAAATGCTCTGCATACAAGAGAATCAGAAAACTCTTGAAATAAGCAAGATTCAGTCTATCACTGTTCCAGTAACACCAAACTTACTTTTCTCTCTCTTTCTCACTTACAAGGTACATTATATTGTTCCCTCCCAAAAGTTTTAGCCGCATAAAAGCTTACAAATACATTAACTACATAGGGTAGAAAACCACTTGAAATATAGTTAGGAAAGTCCGACAAATTTGACAGAACAAAAAATCTAATGGATAATACTGAAAAATGGAAAAGGATTCTCTCCTGATACATGACTCTTAGCTTATGAATTTTTGCATTTTCGCTTAAGTAAAAAATAAAATACAAAAATACAGCACCATGATCCTCATGTTTGTGCCAGAAAATGAGGGGATCCGGATCCCGTAATCACAGGGGTCTCTTCCTTCATAGCCTCGGAAATTGTTTTGTCCCACTATGTTATGTTGACATAAACTGCTATTTCGCTGAACATAGTCGCAGCAAGTTGCAACCAACCCAATAACGGCATGTTTCCTTCTTTTACGCTATAGTGTAGCTTATCATTGTGGATGGTTTCGTACTTCAATAGTATTTCTTTTCATAGGAAACCAACCCATGGACTCCACCTTCAATCTGTGCTGCTCCACTCCGGACCTAGGAAAAGCAAACCAAATACTAAGAACAACATAATCGAGTAATAGCACATTTTTTTATGCAAACAACATTTAAAACAATAATTTGGTTCTTTAAGCATTATGACATAAATTTGATCCTTGAGTGGCATTTTCACATCAAAATAAACCAAAAAGTCATTGTTAATGGGGCCAAAATGGTATCACTGAATGACCAAAGATTTTTGTTTGAGGACCAAACTGGGGGTTTACTCCCATGCACTTTAAATAAAAGCTCGAGCTAAGGCGCATGCGTGCGAGGCACTTATGGCCTGTAAACAGCAAATTGCAGAATCAAACACATATGAGAGTCCCCATGGACAAATCACAATTACATCATGTTTTCTTTTATCAATGGAATCTATTCAGGTGATTTACAGTTTTAGCAAAACATCCACCAAAAAGAGAAAAAAATGCAAAATAAAGTACTTTCATCTTTTATTTTTAAATTCAAGATGTATTTATTTCAGACCAAAAATGCAGATTTACTTTTGTGTCCTGGCTTTCTACGGGATTAGTCCTACCCAGCAGAAAGAAATTTATCCTAAATACATCCTAATAAATTGCCATACATTTTTGTTACCCCCTTTTTTACTTGGTTTTAGAATGAAATGGCAAACAAAACAAGGGTTGTCTTTTCAGAGAACTACAATATCCTCACTTTTCAATGGTTAACAAAAAAAAAAAAAAACCAGTGAACAAAGCCAAAATGGATGGGTTCAATAGGAGATGGGCAAAAGATGCAGCTTTGTTGACAACTAATGCTAATAACCAAAGCAAGAAATGAAAAAAAGAGCTGCCCAACCATACCTCTAATCGTAACACCCTGGATCTTAGAAGGTCATGAGCAGATTGCAGTGATGAGGCGCCAATATCTTGAAACCCTTGCCTCACTGCTTGCAAGGTGTAGGGTAAGAAATTCAAGACAGAACCCTTATCTTTAACGGCTCCAACAACACCCTGAGCAATTTTTAGCTTTGCTGTATCACCCAAATACCTTGCATCACTCCCTTTAGTCATAGCTTCTAGGGAGCCCATTCCTCTATACTTTTTGACACGTTGACCATTCTGGTGCAGAAAAGGTAGCTATGAATATTATTACCATATTTATTCTTATTTGAGCAAGTATAAGTCATCAGCAAGAGAAAGAGGCATTAACAAATTAAAGGAAAGGAAACCACCGAGAGAGCGAGAGAGAGAGAGGCATATTTTTATAAATTTAACAAACTAACACATTGTTCCTAGAAAAATAAATAAAATATTATCTAATATGTCATGAATACGACATGTATAATTGTTAGTTATTTGCTAAAATGGCTAAATCCAATAATAAAAAAAAAAAATGCAATTTTTGCATTTCTAGTACAACAAAAGACTCCTACTAAATAACAGTGGTACCACAAATAATCATCGCAAAGTTGTTTCCCAAATACTTTCCCACCATATCAGTATCCAACGGTCCACACTAAATATTGAAAATTGAAAACAATTTTTTCACCCTAGCATAATGGTTTAATCCTCTTCCTATTTGCCATCTATTTCTAACCAGTAAAATTCTCACTTTTCAACACAATAACTCCCCTTTAATTAAAGGCACAGTCTTCCCTGTTCTCTATTTCAAAAAAGACATTCTTTACAACACTATACTACAACTGATAATATACACATGGTATACGCTTTTAACACTAGGTAATGACAATTTTAAAAGATTCCATCAGACTTTCATACCTGATATTCATAAGCACCAGGAGCCTCCATGCTACCAGCCAAGAAACTTCCCATCATAACAGTGGATGCTCCCAATGACAAAGCCTTAACAATGTGACCGGAGTTTGAAATGCCACCATCAGCAATCACAGGAACACCACTTTTATAAGCAATGGATGAGACCTTGTAAACAGCGGTTGCCTGAAAAGCATAAACTCAATATCAAGAATTGAAGCATTTACATGAACTTAACAAAAACTCATCACAACCCAAAGCCAAATACAAGAAGTGGCACCATAAGTATGCCAAAAAACAACTAGTTATTCTTTCTGCATTTACATGCTTGAAAATTGATGCTAACTTAAGACACAAACACACATTTGGTAAAATTTGTTGCTAAGTATAACAAAGATTAAATAGTGGGAAATTTAATAAAAAATTATACCTGACCACGCCCAACAGCACAAACTTCCTGGGTGGTACAAATAGAACCAGAACCCATACCAACCCTCAACCCATCTACACCAGCCTGAATCAGATTATCAGCCTGATACGCAGTAACAACATTCCCTCCAATCACATCAAGCTCAGGGTACACCTTTTTCACATACTTTATCATCTCCAACTGATAAATTGAATTCCCCTGAGAACTATCCAACACCACAACATTCACCCCACTCTTCACCAAATGCTCCAACCTCTCCTTATCTTCCTCTCTCGTTCCTATCGCCGCCCCCACCATCCACTCCCCGTCCGGCCCCACCGACCCCGCCGTCGCCAACTTCGGATACCCCCTCAACCTCTCCACCTCCTCCTTCGTCACCAAATCCACCACCTCATCATCCCTCACCAGCACCACACCATCTCTCTTTTCCTTTTCAATCACTTCCCTAAGTTGTGCCATGTCCGCGTTCCACGGCACCGTGCCCGGAGGTGCCGACATGTAATCCCTAACTTTCATGCTGTTCTCGTTTTGATTTGTCCAATCGCGCTTTGCGACGAAGCCAAGAAGCTTCCCCTTGGCGTTGCCCGTGTCGGTGACCAGGAAGAAGGGGGAGCCAGCAAAGTCGTCGTCGTGCTCAATGACGGCGGAGGGGGAGCAGAAGACGGGGTCGGAGAGAATGGGGACACGGCGAGACTTGGCGGCGCGAAGGAAGGAGGCTTGGGAGGAGGGAGAGGTGTTGGAGTGGACGATGGCGATGCCGCCGAGGGAGGCCATGGCGGCGGCCATGGCGGATTCGGAGATGGTGTCCATGGGGGATGCGACGAGGGGGAGGGAGAGAGGGAGGTGGCGCGTGAGGTGGGTGGAGAGGTCGACGGCGTCGGCGGCGAAGTCGATGTAGTGAGGGAGGAAGATGACGTCGTTGTAAGTGTAAGAGAATCCCTGGTTGAAGAGCTTCTCCGCCGTGAAACCATCCTCGATCGGCGGCGGAGGGAAGTCCATTTCTGCTCCCCGAAGAAGAGTAAAAAGGGTTTAGCAAAGTTTCGGCTTTTAAAAAGGTTCTTTCCATAAAAATATTTATATTTTGATATATTGTTTGAAAATATTTTTAAAAGAGTAAACCTTGATGTTAGTAAATATTTTAGTCTCTAATAAAATATCTGTAAACAAATCAATTAGTTTTTTAGATAATCAATTTTAAATATATTATACGATTATTTTTAATTTTAATAAAATATTATAAATATTAATAATAAATAATTAATCATATTACATAAAAATAAGTTTAATTATGAAAGATAAATTTTAAAACAATATTAATTAGTGATGTTATAATTTTTAAATTAATAATTAAAAAATAAATATTTCTTAATACTTTTTTTAATACTAAAAAATAACCTTACTGCGTTAGACATATTCAATAATATTATATAATAAATAAAGCTGTTAAAATAAGTTAAAGTTCTTGGCTTTATTCTGCTAGTCTTTTATACAACTTTTTTTTTTTCTTTTTAAAGTCCTATATATCACTAATAAGATAAGTAGGGAGTAAATATTCATTTTTTTCCTCAAATTTCATAATTTTAGTCTTTAATTTTATAAATATCTTACTTTATAAAAATGCTTTATTTTAGTTTTTTATATATAAATGATGATAAAAATAATAATTAAATATTTAAAAATAAAGTAATTTTTTATAAAATTAAATTAATTGATGTTTATAATTTTAAAAATTATTCAAAATAAATATTTTTTTTTATTTAATGCGTAAGAGAAGGATGGTTAGTCCCGTGTGTGCGTTACTCTCTCTCTTATATACATTACACAGGCTATTTGAGAGAAATACAACTTTTTCAATGTAAAATTATGCATGTGTCTCACAAAATATTGTTTTACATAAATGTCCTAAAATTGGTATTCCAAAGTTGATTCTAAATAATTTTTAAATATTGGAGATTAAAATCGATTATCGTTTTGACCGATTTTCGTATTCTATTGAAGTCAATTAAAATCAACTTTGTTGTTCCAAAGAAGTCGATTGAACTTGACTTTCCTGCTCGTTTCTGATTACAAAGAAGTCGATTATAGCTGATTTGCAGTGTAAAGGAAAAACTATTCAAATTGACTTCAGTGTAATCTGGACACGATTATAATCGATTACTTTAGACACACTAGACCAGAGAGAGAATCGAGACCAGAGAGAACCGTGATAAAAGAAAAATGGAGACAACGGAGGAAAATGGATAATGATCAATATCGACTTAATTTTATTGATTATATTGCAAACAAACTATTAATATAGGTAAATTAATTTTTAAATATACTTAATTAAATTATAATTAAATATTTTGTATTTAATTTAATGTATTATTAATTCTATAATTATATATTTAGAAATATGTGTAATGTTAATTAATATTTAATTAAATTATAATTAAATATTTTATATTTAATTTAATGTATTATTAATTCTATAATTATATATTTAGAAATATGTGTAAATGTTAATTAATATTGTAAATTAATTTGAATTGTTTGTTATAATTATAATTATTATATTGAAGAATGTAAATAAAATTCTATTATATATTTTTAATAATTATGATAATTTAGTTTTGTATTGTAGTAATTTATAAATTATAATAATTTTGTTATAATGTTTTAATTTATATCTTGTATATATTATTTTATTATTGTACATGAACCTCGAATTTTCAAAAGTAGGCATTATAATATGATGGTTGCTCAAGATTCAAGAATAGAACCATTTCTTAGGGAGACTGATTTTTGGCATATTGTACAAATGGTCCCATTATTTGATTATGATATGACACTCATAAGTGCACTTGTAAAACTTTTGAGGCTTGAATCACACACATTTCATCATCTATACGGAGAATGTACGATCACTTTGGAGGATGTGTTTTAGCTAGGCTTACGTGTGGATGGAGTCCCTATGAGTAGTTGCATTTGAGCATGGGAGAAATTTTATGATCAAAATATATGGGCGTTGCATGAAGATTTACTTGAAGCAGTTCTTGATGAGAGAAACATAAAAATATTTTTCGTAAATCTATAGTGGTTCACAGATACATTTGGAGCATTACCTCACAATGTTGATAGACAAACTATTATCCATTACACTAGAGCGTACATAATGGTTCCATTTGGTGGGATATTGTTTGCAGATAAATCAGGATTTAGGGTTCATATGAAGTGACTACCTCTTTTAACTAATTTTGCTGAGATTTCAAACTATAGTTAGGGTTTTGCTGTTCTAGCATCACTTTATCTTGAGTTTTGCCGTGTGGTGAAATACAATATCACTGAGATTGCAGGTTGTTTGCCTCTTCTACAGTCTTGGGCATGGTACAAAATACCTCAATTAGCCCCTAGACATCATCATTCTCTCACTGTTCCACTGGCATTGAGGTACATTTATTTATCAATATATTAACTTTTGTTATTTATATATGTTAAATTTGCAAGTAAAAACTAATTATGCTCATTTCAGGTGGAAAAGTTTTAGGTCATCGACGAGATCAGATACAGATCAGTTATTGTGATATAAGAGGATCATTGATTTAATTGGCATTACTAGATAAGTTCAAACATGGTGTATGATACTAAGTTTTGTTTTAAATGATTTTATTTTTAGTCTAATATTTGTTATTGATTATTTCAGTTTAGGTGGACTCCTTACAACAACAATGAGGTCAGGAACATTACACATCCTTTTGTGTATGATGAGGCTGATATTTAGCCCAATAAATATTGATCGATTGCACGCTAAGGATAGGAGGGATGATCTAAATATATGGTTGCCTGATTATTATATGACATGATATGCTGTATGGGAGTCACGTAGGGAGCAACAAGCACTATAACAAAATCATCATTTAGTGACTATTTTTAATGACCGAAGTGACTGTTTTTAGTGCCCAAAAATTTTTGGTCACTATAGTGACTAATTTAGAGATAAAAAACATTATCAATAATGATAATTATATTTTGTCTTTTAGCGACTGAAATAGAAACCAATTATTTTAAAAATTTAGCAATCGATTTATCTGTATCTATTAGTAACCAATTTAGAGACTAATTTAACATAAATATTAAAAATATTTATTAACTAATTTTTAGTGACTAAATTAGTGACTAATTTTCTTTAAAAATTACAAGTTAAAATATTCGATTAGTAACCGATTTAGAAACTAATTTTTCAAATAGTAAAATAAAAAAAATAATAGTAATAACAACTTAGTGACTTTTATTTTTAATTAGTGATTGATATTTTTCATCATTCTTAATAACTAATTTACGATTCATTATACCAAAATTTTATTAATCGATATATTAACTAATTTAGTGATCAATCTTCTTAGATAATTAGCAACCGATTTATTAGTCACTATAAGTGACGAATTTAGAGACTTAAAAATGATTTATTAAAACAAAAAAAAATTAATTATCATAATGCATAAATTAGTAGTTAATTGTATAAGAAATTGAAAAATTAATTTTTTTATTTTATTATTTATTTAATATTATTTATTATTAAATTTTATTTACTAACAAATATAATTTTTATTTTATACTTCATAATTTATATTATTTAAAATAATTATACAGTATTTTTTTTGTTAATTAATAAAATTACACTGATTTTATTTATTTTTCTTAAAAGAGTCTAAATTTTTCTATTTTATTTTATCAAAACATCAATCTTAATTTTTAATAAAAATTTTAATCTATGAAATATTTCACTTAATAAAAAGTCATATATTAACTTTTTTGTTGATAAAAAAATGTTAAAAATTAAAATAAAAAATTTCTTTGAAAATTTATATTATTTTTATAAAAATGTTAATTTATTTATTATTGGGTTGAATAAATTATTAAAATAAAATGAATGATTTAATATATGCAATTTTAAGTGAAAGTAAGACAACTAATTCAACAAGAATAATCAATTAAACATGTAATTAATATAGTATAATGTATCAATTAAATATTTTAATACAATTAATCAATAAAATATTGAAGTAATTATTTTTTTTAAATTTAATAAATGAGTTTTTTATTACTATTTTAATTTTATTTTTACAAATGTACTATTCGAATATCCAATAAAATAGAACAAAATTAAAATTAAAATTATATAAATAATATTTTTTTATAAAATAAAATTAAAATAAATAAATTATCGTATTTAATATTTTTTTATTTTTTCTCTCTAAATACATATTTAATAAGTTTAGATAATCAATCTATTTAGTATAAATATTTTAAAATATTTAAATCGTAAAAAACAATTACACTTCTTAATTTATATTTTTATTTTAAATTTTATATTAAAATAGTATACCTATATATCCAAATCAAAAATTTAAATTAAGATGTATATTATAATATTGAGAGAAAAATGAGTGAATTAAATCTGTTTTATTATTATTTTTAGATAAAAATTATAAATTATTTTAGTTTTTAGTATTATTATTTAATATTATCTTAAAATTTTCATAGATCCAATAATATAAAACAAAAATATATATTTATAAAATAAAACTTTCAAATTTAACTTTAGTATAATTATAAAATACAAAATTTATTCAAACAAAAATAAGATTTTAAAAAAATAGTAATTTATAATTAAAAATATTAAATTAATTAAAAATAGGGTAAGAAAAATATTATAAAAGTAAAATTTATAATTTTAGATGAGTTATTATTAAAATAATTATAATAAAATAAAATAATATAATAATTATATAGAATGATATCTTTTTTTACTTACCAGGCGTAGAGGTGTGCATGTATTGGATTTGTACACAACCAATATAAATCCATTTCAAATTCAATTATATGGATTAGATTTTTAATCCACTTATTTTATTTTTCAAAAATTGGTTTAAAACCAATTTTAAAATTTAGATTTAGTTTAAAATTGGTTTTAAATCTAATTTTAATTAAAACTGGTTTTAAATCTAATTTTAGTTAAAACTAATTTTAAATTCAGTTTTAATCAAATG